ACGGTAGATATACGTCCTCAATATATTTTGGATAGCGATCAGCGATGGCAAAAGCCTAAAAGAAGATGTTCCATCAGAATACAACTTCTGTAGGTTTGCAGTATAGAAATTAAACTTACATCCGTCCAATGTCCCGCAGCCACATGCATTTGGGCCATAGCCTTTATGTCATTGATGTTCCCATAGATCCTAGCGGCCATATTATACTCAGATTTCCTAATAAAATAGTTTGCTAATCGTCGAAGACTGTCAACATCGCTTCGCTCCAATTTTCGCATCACGTTTATCGCCCTAAACGATAACTTAGTAAGGTTACCGTAACTCCTTGGGTTGAAATAGCCCTCACAGATCCATCCAGTCATTCTCCGTAATCAGCTGCACAGCCTTATCAAGGTCTCCACTAGAAATGAGCATTTCAGCTGCTACTTTTGGCTGATTAGAGTTCTTGGCCCAATCCGCGCGTTTACGCATCAGCATGCGTTGCGTTTCACCGGATGCACTGGCCATTACTTCCTAAAATTATCATCATCTGAAGGACGCTGTGAAATAGTATACTCATATCTGTTCATTCAAGTTCATTCGTTCTTTTCTTTCATTCATTCATCCATCATTTATTCAGTCGATCATTCATTCATTCGAAACCAGAAATTCTTTTTACCTGCGCTTCATCAAACATCCTAAGATCCGTGAATAGTTGCATGGCACGATTATCATCTCCATTTGCACGATAGAGAGCTGCAGCCTCTTGGAATTTCCCCTCATAACAGAGAACATGTGCTCGAATTAGGTACTCTGGCTCATTTGCTGCTAGCATTTCCTATAAAGGATCGACATCTAACCGAAACCTATGTGTGACGTGAATGGTCACCTTGATTTCATGGACAAGTTGTAGGTTACGGTAATCTTTGTAGCGAGCAAAGGCCTTCTTAGCGATGTCACATTCCAGATTCATAATAGCATCTTTGGCAAGGATTTGCCAATCTTCACTTGTTACTCCCAAGCAAGCAAGATCATAGGCCTTTCTGAAAAGGATAGTTTGACATACTTTTTAACTTTCAGGATAATTTCGGGGCATTTAACATACTGATATTCCTTGTTTTCGATGTATTGATAAAGTTGGTTGGAAAAAGGAACTTCAATTGCTTGCATAGCGTAGATGTGCAGGCAGTAAACCTTGTTCCCAGAAAATCCAACAACGAAACCCTGCAATAAGGAATATTAATTGAAAAGATTTTCTAAAAAATTTATAATTTATTTCTAAAAAAGGAAGTAAGCAAATGGTATACACAAAAAGTGAGATTGAATTAATTTAATTCATTTTCATCATCT